CCTCGGCCAGCGACTTGCCGAGCGCTGCGGCCGGCACCGGTGTCCCCGGATGGACCACCTGCGACATCTCCGAGTCGGAAGGGCTGTAGGGGGGGGTCAGGCACTGCATGGGGGAGACAGACACGGTAAGGGGGGGTGTGTTACCAGCACATCGCCACACTGATTATTAAACACACGCACGCGCACGTACAAATTCAAAAACTTACAAATGCTGGTATCGCATTAAAGTCCGCTGCTCCAGGAAGCAAAGTCTCGTCGCTCTCTTCTGACATATCAGATGCTGGAGTTATAGGTCTCATTTCTGCATGTTTTTTGAAGTCTGATTTCCAGTTGCAGCTCATAGAAATGAGGGCTTCTACAGCCTCATAATCGCTTTTTTCAGGAGTATTGTTCCAGAAACACCTAGGATCTCTCTGTTTCTCAGTCATCATCTCCATTTCTTCCTCCTGTTTCAGTTAGAGGGAAAAAAGGAGACTTTAAACCTGATGCCAAGTTTGAATATTTTCCAGTGATTTATCAGAAGGCGGCATAAAAACCAAACAAGGCAACCTGTGCAAGATAAATACGCTTGGTCATGTGGGGGGTATGCCTGTATGTTCCTGCCCTCTTTCTTATGTAGGTATGATTTTTATGAAGCCGTTAGTGGGGAAATCTGGCCATCTGGTGAAGATGAGATATTTTCTTGAGACAAAAGAACTCACCCCAAATCTTAAGCAACAGTTTAAATTATTCCATACTGCAAGTGTTGTGTCTGAAAGCTTAACAAGAATCTTCACCCCCAAAAGAAAGAAAACGAAACTTCCTCCCCCATCCCACGCTCCTTCCATTTTTGCTTTACACACAGCCCTCAGTACCGTGCTTATTTTGACACGAGAAAGGACCGTGTTGGGACCGATGCACATTTTCTTCCAAAGGTATTGGCTAGCAAAAATGCTCCAGAAAATACGCAAAAGGTCTCTCTCAGGCACATACATGCAAGGAAAATCACCAACTCTGAGAACTGAAATGTATGTATGCCTGTATATTCGCTGTCTGGCCGATCACCACGCGGAACCCACCCAGGCAGAAGCCTCCGAAGCTCTACGTTCCACCGTTATCCCTAGCACGGCTCTCGGTTTCTGAGGGATGG